AGAATGAGAGAGAGCACATGAGAGGGGGGAGGGTCAGAGGGAGAAGCAGGCTCCCTGCCGAGCAGGGAGCCCGATGCGGGACTCGATCCAGGGACTCCGGGATTATGACCCGAGCCGAAGGCAGTCGCTTAACCAACTGAGCCACCCAGGCGCCCTGGAATTTAATATTTCTAAAGGGATTTTAAAGTTTTTAAATCAGAAATTTGAAAAGCTGAACTTCTTTTTGGTCTCCCGTAGGAGTGTTAGGTTGCCCTCGGACGTGCCTTCATGCCATTTTAAACATCTTGGAGAAGGGAACTGAAGGGAGAACAGGCCCGGTGGCAGTGAGAGAATCTCCTCAACTCGCTGAACTATGTTACCAGGTACACAGAAGGCTGTATTTGATAGCACTTAGTAGAAGAAATTTAACTAGGTGCTTGAATATATCACAGGTACGGAAGTTTAACAGTAAGACTTGAGTTAAAATGAGTTCATTTGGTAGTTTGGCTGGTCTTTCATTTATAGATAAAATCCACAGAGCACAAACCCCAAGTTCCTATAGATCTACAGATCCTGTATGTCGCTCCTTTGAAAAATGAGGGAAATTAGATTTTTGAGATGGATTTTGAGCTGGTAGTGTAGAAAGTGTCCAGTGGTGCTATTTCAAGTTGTCTCTTTTTGGTGAAGATAGTAGTGGATTTGGGTCAGAAGACCTCTGATTCTCATCTCTAACCCTTAACTAGCTAAATCAGCTTGGGTGGGGCACGAAACTTCTCTGAGTTTAATGTGTGCAGCGGGCTGTTGTGAGACTTAGCTGAGAATGTAGGACTGTGGGTGAGGGCGCGATTTAAGAACCATGTGACTCCAGCACTAGAGCTAAATGTAAGGTGGTGGAAAGTCAAATTAGTGCAAAGTTGAAACTGTACTGAGAGCTTCTGTTTTGCCTGTGTTCGCTTGTGATTATTTCTTGTCTTACTCATTTTGTGTGTGAAAAACTAGGCTTTATAAGATGCGACTTGTTTCTCAATTTCAGCAGCACCCTTGATTCACATTTTCAGAATAAAAAAGGCATCGTTGGCTTCTAGTGACCTGGAGCTTTTTCTTTATTATTCTCCCATTTTTCTTTTTGTAATCTGTTACAATTTTCTCCTGTCCTCTGGCTGTCCAAACAGCCCTTCACTGTAAGTCCTGTAAGGAAAGCCTGTAAGCTAGGTCTTCCTCAGAATCAAAATGAATTCTTCCTTAATGGGAGAACAAACTTGACATGCATTTTATTTATTTATTTACAAAATTATTTATTTGAGAGAGAGAATGAGAAAGAGAGTGAGAGGGGGGAGGGTCAGAGGGAGAAGCAGACTCCCCGCTGAGCAGGGATCCTGATGTGGGACTCAATCCTGGGACTCCAGGATCGTGATCTGAGCCGAAGGCAGTTGCTTAACCAACTGAGCCACCCAGGTGCCCTTGACGGGCATTTTAGCAGTACTCTAGAATTTGACGTATTTAGGTAGTAGTAGTTGATAAGCTTAATCATGGAGGCTAAAGGAGTTAGGCAGGTGAAGTTAGTGAAAGGAGCCAGATTTAAGACAGGAAGCTGGGGAGAGGGTGACGGCGGAGAGTCTGACAGACCGGAAAGCAGATGTGCTGCTACTCAGTACAATTTTTAGAAGTTACTTCGAGTAATTTGCTATTAATAATAGTTAAAATACTAAACTGTGTGTATTAATATACTTAGGCTGACTTAAAGATTAGTTCTATAGTGATGTCATCAACACTCTCAATTATATTCCAATATGTTTTCTTGAGTTGGGGTACCAACAACTGCTTGTAACTGAGCATCTGTTTTATATGTGTGTTTATCCATTTTGCTTGAGTTATTGATGGGTCTTAGTTTCCATTTAGTAAACCTTGGGTCACCTTTTATCTTAAAATTTTTAACACAGAGAAAATGATTTGGGGATTTTCTTATTTCATTTGAACTCTTTAGGTGATACATCAGTTGTGTACATGCTCTGACACATCCGGTCCTACTATGAGGTACTTGAGAACCAGCCAGGATTTCTTATTTTCTCAGTTGCAACATTTACCTTTCTCTAACAAAGGTAGGACGTTATTTTCCCACACTATTGTAACTGATTTGTAAAGTCCATGTTGAGTGATTTTATTTATACAACATTGGGGGGTAGCAGTTACAGTACTTGTGGAATTCTGCTTTCATTTTGTTACTTCGCTTCTTACTCTGGGTTGCTTTTGTAATTTATTCTTGAGAAGCCTCACTGTTCTAGCTGTTGGCATTAAATTATTTAAAAATAGCTTGTCAAGGATAGAATTTGATTCTTATACTACCAAATAAAGATTTTAAATTGTGTTGAAGAGATAAGAAAATATTTATATATATGATTCTGGAAATTTAGATTTTTTGAGTGAAGGTGTTTAATAAATTAAAATCTCTTGTTTTACTTTTGTTTCTTATGTATATGTTGAAACCAATTCAGGTCTTGACGTGAGAAATGGAAAACTAAGTACAGTGGAAACTATAGCTGAGTTTATTGACCTGACCACCACAATCCCAGGCTATGTTTTATAGGATTCTACTTTATATAATTTTCTTTTTGATCATTTTGTAACAATTTTCTGAATTCATATTATATCCAGACAGTTGTAGTCTGTGGAGTTTTTTTGAAGATTATTTTGTATCATCTTTATGTTTTGGGAAATGTAAGCCCACAGATTTCATAATAAATTTGGATTACTAGTAATTATCAGCTACTAATCTACTTTTTAGAGTGAGGGTGTGAGAAGCCCTTGGGAATTATCTAATGGCAAAAAATTTTTCACTTCATTTTCATAATAAGCATGTCTTACTTTTAGTCCTAAGATTTTGTTTATATAACAAGCTTTTTAAGAAACCCTCCTTTCTACCTAATCAGGAGGGAAAGTTATTGTCTTTTTTTAAAGATTTTATTTATTTGACAGAGAGAGAAACAGTGCGAGAGGGAACACAAGCAGTAGGAGTGGGAGAGGGAGAAGCAGGCTTCCCGCGGAGCAGGGAACCTAATGTGGGGCTCGATCCCAGGACCCTGGGATCATGACCTGAGCCGAA